TATGAAAGTTTCACTTTTTGAAATAAGTTACAAAAAAATAACATATATATATATAAATTTCCCACAGAAGAAAAAAGTCATAATGAAAAAATTTTGGTTTTTAGGTGAACTATGCCTATCTAGTTCATATATTGTAGATAAACCATATAAATATAAAGACAAACAGAGGGATGTGAACAGTTAAAACTTCTCAGTGCCATTGGACTTTATATCAGCAATTTTGGACACCAATCATGTTGGAACTAATTGTATAATATGAACAAAAATGACAAACAAAAGAGATGAAACAAAATATTGCTTCTACAGTTTTTTAATATTTTTTATTTCTTTATAATATTTGTACAAGGCAACAGTGCAAATTTGCTTCTCTATTTACAGTCTACTACAATTGTGGTCAATTTTACATACACTTTGCTGAATGTTAATTATTTTACCAAAATAAGAGGGATCATACAAATGCATGTAATTTTTTATTTATTACTAATCTGAATAAGATATTTCACATAGAAGACGTGTACATATAGTCCACAAGAGAAAATAATGGTTGACTTTATAAAAATGACCCCGTTCAAAAGTTTACATCCCCTTGATTCTTAATACTGTGTTGTTACCTGATTGATCAAAAACTGTGTTGTTTTTTTTTAGTGATAGTTGTTCATGAGTCCCTTGTTTGTCCTGAACAGTTAAACTGCCTGCTGTTCTTCAGAAACATACTTCAGGTCCCACAAACTATTTGGTTTTCCAGCAACATTTGCATATTTGAACCTTTTCCAACAATTACTGCATGATTTTGAGATCCATCTTTTCACACTGAGGACAACTGAGGGACTCATATGCAACTATTACAGAAGGTTCAAATGCTCACCGATGCTCCAGGAGCAAAAACCATGCGTTAAGAGCCATGCGTTAATTTGAAGATCAGGGTCAATTTAACTTATTTTGTCTTCTGGGAAACATGTAAGGATCTTCTGTAGCTTCTGAAGTGCAGTACTTAATGAAAAAATATGATATTTAGGCAAAATAAGAAAAATGTCACATCTCCATTCTGTTCAAAAGTTTACACCCCCGGCTCTTAATGCATCGTGTTTCCTTCTGGAGCATCAGTGAGTGTTTGAACCTTCTGTAATAGTAATAGTTGTGTATGAATCCCTCAGTTGTCCTCCGAGTGAAAAGATGGATCTTAATTATAGAAAAACAGTGGGCAGTTGAACTGTTTAGGACAAATAAGGGACTCATGAACAACTATCACAAAAAAAAACAATAGTGTTTAATAGTGTTGTAACATTCAGGTAACAACAACACCATTAAAATTCAAGTGTATGCAAACTTTTGAATGGGGTCATTTTTATTATTTTCTTTTTTTATTTCTCTTATTTCGTCTCATTTTGGTAAAATAATTAACATTTTGCAGTACTGCAAAGTGTATATGAAATTTTGAGGTCAAGTAAACGTGACAAAATGTTTAGTTTCTTTACTGGGAAAAAATGTGATCCTTCAGAGAGTGCACCTGAAAAATAAGATGTAAAAAAAAAAATTATGCTCACTTACAATACCACAATCTAATTTCATCTTTATTCAGGACTCTTACTGAAGTGTCTGACACAGCTCCTAGATTGCTGGCATCAGTGGTTGGGATGACAAAAGAACTCAAGCGAACATCAGTAGCACTGTACTATAGTCCAAGCAAATAAAAAATAAGAAAACAAGACTGCCATGAGTGTCAACTTACAGTACATTACAAACAAGGTTGGGAAAGTTACTTTTGAAATGTATTTCACTACAGATTACACTTTAAAAAGTAATTTGTAACTTTAATGGAATACAGTTATTGATTTTTTTTTTATTTTAAATATGTAATTAAAGGGATAGTTCACCCAAAAATGAAAATTCTGTCATTAATTACTCACACTCATGTCGTTCCAAACCCTTAAGACCTTCATTCAACTTCGGAACACAAATTAAGACATTTTTGATGCATTCCGAGAGCTTTCTGACCCTCCATAGACAGCAATGCAATTACAATGATCAAGGTCCAGAAACGTAGCAAGGACATCGGTAAAATAATCCATGTGATGTCAGGGGTTCAACCGTATACGCTGAACAGTATACACGGTTCACTGACTGGATATTCTCCAAAATGGCACTAGGGTGACGCGGAGGAGACAAATTGTTGAATAAAGTCGTTATTTTTGTTTTCTTTGCGTACAAAAATATTCTCGTAGCTTCGTAATATTACGGTTGAACCCCTGACATCACATGGATTATTTTACCGATCTCCTTGCTATGTTTCTGGACGTTGATCGTGGTAATTACATTGCTGTCTATGGGAGGGTCAGAGAGCTCTCAGATTCCATCAAAAATATCTTAATTTGTGATCCGAAGATGAACGGAGGTCGTATGGGTTTAGAACGACATGAGCATGAGTAATTAATGACAGAATTTTCATTTTTGGGTGAACTATTCCCTTAATATACATGTATTCTGTTACTCCCCAACCCTGATTACAAATCATGTAATGATAGCTTAGTACATTCTTATGAAAGTATGTCAACTGTGAGGGACACGGTGACTTACAGGCAGTTCTCTGGGTGCGGATGAGAATGGCGGGTCACTGGCACACATGCGGGTGAATGGTTTCTCTTTGGTAGTGGGGTGATTGGTGCAGCAGAGGCGCAGAGTGGCAGCAGGGAGGAGGATATGCCAGATACTGCCGTGCTTCTTCACCAGCTCATCCAGCATCCTGAAATATACATGAAGTAATGCTGGACATGTAAAAACAATCCATTTCCACAATACAGATTTTCCTATTCACATGATAAAAAAAAATTTAACAGTTAAATGTCATCTCAGTTAAGTAAATATTAGCATGACATAAAGGTGACATATCATGAAAATCTGACTTTTCCAGGTTTTAAGTGCTATAATCAGGTCCCCGGTGCATCTACCAATCAAGGAAACGTGAAAAAGATTAATCCAGCAACTTTGTTTTGGGAAGCCTTTTTCTGCAAGCGTCTGAGAAAACGAGCGCGTCTGATTTCACTCCCTTGGTGACGTGGAAAAGGGATCTCATTATAATATTACCGCCCCTTAATCTGTAAATTTACACCCACGGCACCGTTATTGTGTTTTCGCAAGCGACCACGATGAACCAGCTCTAATGCCATGGCGAAAGTTTGAGCAAAACATGCTAACTGTTCTGTCATTGGCTGCACAGATGAGCACAGAACACTATTTAGAGTCCCAGCCTCAGAAGAGACAACAGAGCAGTGGAATTTTTGATTTATTTACTGTATATTGCTGCTGCCACACAGATCTAAAATAAACATGCGATTTATTTCCCAACTGTTTACCTTCACAGACATAACCGACTGTTTTTTGCAACACGTGTGTTTTTAACGTAAACTTTTGTGTGAATGAGAACTAGTTTAGTACTCACATGCTGTGACAGCCGCTTTCTGTCCGTGTGCTTCGGATGTTTGCGCTCAGAAAACCGTATATCAGAAGTTTAAACTAATATGGTTTAAAACGCATGATTTCAGCGCAATGAAAATGATGATCAGAACCAAAACAGATGTTTTGGTGCAGCTCTATT